CGGGGCTTCGGCGCCCTCGGGACTGAGGGGCCGCTCTAGGGCGTCCCCCCAGCCCCGAGATGCCTTTCCGCGTGGGGTGTTCCGATGGCCAGGGCGTCGCGGCGGCCTTCGCTGCCTCCAGCTTGCCCGCCGTGGGCATGTGAAAGGGAGAAATGCACGAACCGGAAGTGTTCGGGGGATGCGTCTTGACCCTGGAATTCACCTGGGTCGCCCGCCCCCGTCCGCGCCCGAGCCCGCCCCTTTTCTGCTTTTGCCGGGTCCGCCTCTCGCGGACATGTGCGTTTTTGTTAACTTGTCTCCCCCGTGCAGTGTACTTGTTTCCAAGACATTTGAAAGGGTCGGCACTGCGCACGTGTATGCTTTTTACTTCGTGGGACATCAGAGTTCCGGGAAGAGAGTTGCTTGCTCGAGGTCCCGATGGGGTAGACTCGTGCGTGAGAAAGAGCCCCCTCTCGGGTATCTCTGGATATGAGAGACGTGGATAATCTCAGACTAAAGGAACTTTTGATTTCAAAGTGGAGCGTTTTATTGTATTTTTTACTTTAAGATTCCGACACGCTGATGCCCTGGGTATTCAGCTCCCAAAAGCCACATTGAAAAGTAGAGCTGAACGATGATGGTGCTCCCTATTTAACTGGCCATCTTTGCTCAGTTCTTCAGTGAATGTTTAGAAAGTGCACATGAGGCAGGGTTGTTACCTCATTTATGATTTTCCTGAGACGAATTTATGTGTGCGGGATTGTCAGGGGTTTTGGGTTTTTCTGCAGTTTGCTTTGTGTTATGTGGACTTTCCAGCGCAGCTAGTTGCTAGTTATTCAGGGGTAGGGACTGGAGCACTGGTATTAGAGGAAGCGGTGCTTAGAGCTGTCTTGCTGCCAGCATTTCTTCTAAGTCATATGCAACACTTTCACGTTTCCTGTACTTTGAACTCTTAGACATATAATGAGTCTCTTAGGTCTAAATACAGTAAAAGTGCAAATTTTCAACAAACTTTTCAACTTTTTTTTTTTTTTTTTTGATTTGGAGTCTCACTCTGTCGCCCAGACTGGAGTGCAGTGGCCACTGCCGACCACCGCAGCCTCGACCTGCTGGGCTCCGGCAAGCCTTCCGCCTCAGCATTCCGAGTAGCTGGAACTACAGGCGCGCATTACCACGCCCGGCTAAATTTTTTGATTTATTGTAGAGATGAGGTCTTGCCAAGTTGCCCAGGCAGGTCTCGAACCCACGGGCTCAGGCAATTCACTCACCTCAGCCTCCCAAGGCGCGGGATTACAGGCTGAACCGCTGAGCCCGGCTTAAACAAAATTTTAAACAGAGTTCAAGGGGCTGTTTCACATTAAGCCTTGATTATGTAGAATCCAGCTTTTGGGTCTTGAACAAGGCCCTGACTCTAGCAGTACAATTCTCAAATAACTATCAAAAGATGAACATATGAACAATTGCCTAAGACATCACTGAGATAATTTTTCCATGTGGAAACAAAGGAGATCCCCTCAAAGGTAATGAGTTGTGTTTCACTAGAAAGCTAGGGCTTGCAGGAGAAATGAAAGGAAACTTGTTATGCGGGGAATAATTAGACACATGTAGCAAGCTACAGGTGGACTCCAGAGGAAAAAATCCAGGTACGAAAAGATGGGAAGTAGAGTAGCTGTATGGTTCCTGGCTGGGAGAGGATGTAAACTGCCGTTAGCACTTAGGAGGGAGAAAGGGGTAGAGCTAGCAGGCACCTGTGCACTACATTCCTGTTGGCCGTGCAGCAGACGCTGCTTAATATATTCTAGTGCCTTGGAAATAATGCAGAGGAAACTGGAAAGGCATAGGTGTTGGGGCCTTGGGAATGGGAGGAAGTAGCTGTCAGTCTACAAATCCATGTTGGTTAGTTTATTCATTCAGCTAACATCTATTGAGCATTATTTAATAAGAGCCAGCCTCTGTGCTATGCACTGTTAATATAAAGATGATGGCCTCTCTCCAAGATCAAGCTTGATCTAGCTGGAAGACAAATAATTAGATGGATAATAAAACAGTGTACTAATTTCAGTGACGGTAATGTAACTGTATAGAGGACGTGTCCTGGGTGGGTAAATACCTTAGTTGACCTAAAGAATGAGTTGGAGGGTAGAGGAATGTGTGACTGTCAGACCAGGTATAGGATCCGTGTGCACCAAAGGAAAGAGCCTCCTTCCCCCACTCCTGCCTCGTTGCAGAGAATGGAGGAAAATGGTGTTGACATGGAGTCCTCCTCAGGTAACTAACTATTGGCTCAGGGCAGGAAGTTCTGTAAATAGTAAAGTCATGGAGCCCCTGGAGAGGTAAATAGAGATGGAGAGTCATGCCAGGGGTCTTGCATGCCTTATTAAAGAGCTTCGATTTTATCCTAGAAACGGGAAAGGTTTTAAGCAGGTACATGACATGGTGCCTTTTTTTTTCCTAAATGGATCGATGGTTGTTGTATAGGATGGAAACTCAAGAGATGGGCACAGAAGTTCACACAAGAGTAGTGAGGGCGGTTATTGAAATGGAAAGGAGGGAATAGACTTAGGAAACATTTAGGGCATATAAAATTGGGTGTGGGACATATGGAGTGAAAAGGAAGCATTCATGTTGGCTCTCACGTTTATAGTGTGGCTATTGCAACTCATTTACCGAATGTTTAAGTAACTACCCTGTGTTAGGTACTGGTTAAAATGTCAGCAGCTTTGTGAATAGCGGAAAAGGGAGAGAGAAAGAGGATAAGAGTTTCCCTTGGTGCTTCCACCATGGGCACTAGTTTTGGATATATTGTACTGAGTTTATCCAGAGTTGATAACGGGGGACTGAAGCCTAGCAAAGAGGGGCTTCACTTGTGTCAGTGAAACCTTGAGAGTGTATGGATTGACCCAGGGAGGATGTGGAGAGAGAAGAGCAGTTGGTTTAGGGGACTGAAAGAACCTTGAAGAATATCTGTATTTGCATTTAGGAAGAGGAAAAAAAGCCTGTGGTAGAAGCAGAAAAGAGATACCACAAGAATGCATAGTTTTGAGTGTATGTTCCAGAAGCCTAGGGTTAGATGAAGAGAGAGACAGCAAAATCACAATCCTCTGTTGGGTTTAGCCAATTAGGAAATCTTTGGTAAGATTGAAAACTATATTGATTTGTCGCTTCTGAGGTCTTAAATAAAAAACAGATATTCCACCTACCTAGATGGTGCTTGACATATACTGGGTCTCAATAAATATTGCTAACTTACGTACATGTAGCCAGACCGATTCTGGTGAATTTAAGTGATCCTACAAGTTGTAATCTTAATGATTAAAAGCTAGGCCTGTAAATTTTTAAAATTTTTCCCCATTTTTGAATAGTTCAAATTCAAATAGTTCAAAATTCACGTAATTCAAAATTCAGCTCAGAAGATCTCTTTTATCCCTGTGTCCTAGCCATTTAATGCGATTCCTTCGCCGGTTCCTTATGTGCTCTTTTGAGATGCTGTATGCACGTTGTGTTAATTGTTGAGAAAATAGACAGCTGACAGTGACTTGCAGCAAATCAGGAAAATGTTAATGGCGTAGTAAGTTATTCTAGCCTGTGATATCTAGGTTCGAATATCCTTAGTGTTCAACTGCATGGCAGTTTAAGAGCCTTCTAAATTAGTCTCTAAACCAAACTGGGATCTATATGAATGATTCTTAGAAATGGAAGAATACTTGAGCAGCTCATTGTGAGAGCGAAGGCAAGCTTTTACGTGCAAACTCAGTATATAGAATGGCATATTTTGGAAGTTATGGCTCTGAGAACTTTAGGGGATAAGACCTAGCTGATGTTTAGAACGTTGTATTTTTTGTTAATAGTCATTTTGGTAGTTAGATCCTTGTGCATGCCTTTCCTTCTCTCACTTGTCTTGGAGAAATAGTGTAAGGTAGTATAGTCTACCTAGGTTCAGAGTAACATCTCAGTGACATTCGGGGAGTTCAGAAAACTACAACTTTTTAGTCTCAGTAAAAATGAGTATATTAATGGCTATTTCATAGGAACAATCATTTATTTAAATGATGACATGGCATATAAAGCTTTTGGCACAGTATTTAGTACCAATTAAGTAGTCAATAAGTACTGTTTGCTAGTAGTTATCACACAGTTCCTAGAAGTAAGCCCCCAGGATTGAGTTCCCACATTTGAAGATGTTTTAAAAATAATTGTGTCAGTTGCTCTGTAGTACTACTAGAGAGCATGGAGAAAATGGGGACCTGGTATTCTATCATTTCCATCGAAAAACTTGGAGATTTTGATGTAACCCTCCCATCAGTAGCATAGATTATTGGCAGAGGGAATGGATGCAGCAAAGCAGTGTGAGGAAAAGAGAGAAAGGAACATGATGAGGGTGACAATTCCAATGGCAAAAGTTTTAAGGAGTGAATGGGCTGTTAGATACTTTTGCTCTTAAGACAGTAATGACCAAAGGGGTTTTTTTCCCCTCTCAAAAGAGTTCCAGTGTTTCTTATGGGAGTTAGCTTAATATAGCGACTTTATTATGATGATAAATTTGCCATCAGTAAAGATGAACTCATGCCTAATTCAGTTATATTTGTGTCCATTGGTTTTTCTGAATTATGTGTATGGAGAGAGGATAAAGTTGAACTTTTAACTTCTTCAACATTGGTTCTAAAAACTGATGAAAATTTTTTTTCTAATGACTGAAATAACATTTTTAATCTCACCAATAAAAACAACAAAAAATATATTCTTACATAATACTTGCAGGGAAACAGTGCCCTGACCTTGCCTGTCTCCACTAATACAAATCAGCAAAGTGTAATTGCAGTCGGAGGTGGGATGCCTTGCAGTTCCTCCCGGAACAAAGGGAGATAAGCAGCCTTGTGAGAAAGTGCACCAGGCCGTTTCTCATTCTCCACTGTTGTGGTTGAGCATGGGGCTTTTCCACTTGCCCTTCCCTTTGGGCTATAAAATTGCAGAGCTGTAGGTAGAACTGACTCCTTAGCAGCCAGCAGAGCAACCCACAGCCTGCCCTGTCTCTCATCCCGGCCCCCTAGTTTGGTGTCATCAGTGGAAATAGAAGCAGGGAGCTCACACTGCTGATTTGGCTTTTGCTGTAAGTTTATTTGGCTCGTTTTCTTCTTACTGACCAAATCTGTGGAAATGTGGGCCTGTTAGCTGTTGTGTTTTCACTTAGGGATGACTTGACTGCCTGGCAAAAATCCTGAATGTGTATCAGATCTTTTCTACCTTCACCAAATTCCTAACTTGGCAGCTTTTTTCCATGTGCTAACCTGGGGCCTTATCCTATTTTTTTCCTTCCTTTCCACTTTGAAAGTTTTAATTGGACCTGACTTACATTTTCTTCCTTTTGAATAGTCAATACTGTGGCCCACTTAGCATTAGTCATTAAAAGTTGCATTGTATTGGTTTTGAAATTGTAAGTAGTAAATTTCTTCTTATACTGCTCTAGCAAAAATATGTAGGTGTGTGTATGCTTTTAAACTATTAAGTTATTATCCTTATTTGCCCATCATCCAGATTCATCAGTTGTCATCCTTATTTGTTTTCATCTGTTACTTGTTTCTTTCCCTTTGGGTGACAGAGAAGCAATATTTTATGTTGAAGTTTGGTTTAATTTCCATTGAAACTGCTGTCTGATTTTCATTTAGATGTTCCTGGTGGTTCATTTTTAGCATTGGGGAGAGTATCTGCTCTCTTACTGAGCTGCTTTAGCTAAAGTGAGTTGGAGTCTCACTGGCACCCAGACTGGAGTGCAATGACACGATCACGATTACTGCAGCTTTGACCTGCTGGGCTCAGGCGATCCTTCCACGTCAGCCTTCCAAGTAGCTGAGACCACAGGCCTGCACTGCCATGACTGGCGGATTGGTTTATTGTAGAGATGAGGTCTTGCCGTGCTGCTCAGGTTGGGCTCGAACTCCTGGGCTCAGGCCATCCTTTTGCCTTTGCCTCTCAAAGTGCTGGGATTACAAGCGTGAGCCACCATGCCCAGCCTTGAAATACTTTACTTACTGTATATACTCTAATACTGTATATAATTGGAAGTTGAAAAGGAAAGGAAGCACAGTACGTCTTAGGCTTTCATGTCCTTTTAAAAAAAAATTTAGTTTTGGGAAGGAGCTATTTAGGAAACAACAGAATCTTCAGAATGGGTGTTGCAAATATATAGAACCTCGACAGAAAATAAGTTTTCTCAGTACCTACTATCTCCTTGACTGAAACATGTGAAAGTTAAATGTAGGAACTGAAATGAATCAGAATGTTTAAGACACATTGGTGTTAGTATATCACTGGGAATAAGTAACAGGTTGAGAGTGAAAGTCTTTGTATGGTAATTGAATCATCCCCAAGAATAGAGTTGAGTTGAAGTGGATTGGGTGTTTAAAGGTCACTTAGAAACTGTGAAATCTTTACTAAACAGATAAAATGAATGACTATCTCATACATGTGTATATCAAATGAGTCATCAAAAGATACAAAAGCTGCAGGTTTTATTTCATTTTGTGAATTATGAGAAAGTTGAAACATTAATAAATTGGCCTCTTAGGAAAAAGCCTCTGACTTTATTTATTCAGCACAAATTACTGTTTCAGAGTGCTGTTCAATAGAAATATAATGTGAACATATATATAATTTAAAATTTCCTAGTAGTCACTAGAAGCTAATGAAATTATTTTTAAAATATAGTCTTAGTTTATCCAAAATACTATCTTTTAATTTAATTTTTTTAAATTTCTAATTTTAAAGATGTAGGGTGCATTCAGGGTTAGGTATACAAATGTTCATTTTGCAGGTACCCTTGTTGATGAGGTGTGCCCCCCTCTCCTGGCAGTTTCCCACTACTGCCAATCCCTTTCTTAACAGTATTATGATAATTGTTCAAAGTTGGCTTATGAGTGAGAGCATGTGGTACTCAGTTCTTTGTTTCTGTGATAGATCAGTCAGTACAAAATACGATTTTTTAAACACCCAAATAAAAATATGAGATCATTTGTATTCTTTTTTTCCATATTAATCTTCAGTGCAGACTAGACACGTGACTAGTGGCTGTCATTGAGTATTATTGGTATAAAATATGCAAGGTTTTCACAGCAGTACCTTCATTAATGCGGTATTTCCAGCACAAAATTTCATTTTGAGTAAATTGGTTCATAAAATCAAAATGGGATTAAAGTAATTTAATTAAAACAATAGTATTCATGCTTCATTGAACTCTTTTGGATAATAAAAATATATTTTCACTTTCTTACTTTCCCATCTCTAGAGGAGCTTTTAATAGAAAATCTATTAACAAAAGGAAGAAGGCCACAGTAAAGAATATTAAGTTCAAAACCTAAGTTGGTCATATTTTCAGGATAAGCTACACACTACTGTTACTTCAATAGTCTGAATCTCTTCAAGTCTGTATTCTGTCTTTGCTTAGGGGAAAATTAATTCGGCTGATCTGAATTGCCTGCTACATAGTAATTTCTCCTAACTTCTCTGTAGCTCAACCCTTAGACTGAGTTGATTGGCAAATGAGCAAAGCCATGTATTTTAATAGCTTGTCCTCTCATTATAAAGTTGATAACAGAAGTAGATTTTCTGTTTAAATATATAGTTTCTAAATCGAAACTAATGCGTTTGGCTTTTTGTATCTACCAGTCTTTCTGGAGCTGGAATGTGATTGAGAAAAACAAAATGAATTTCTCTGTATCACTTAGCATTTCTCTTAGTACCTATCATTTCTTTAAATGTGACATGAAAGCAACTCAAAAAAAAAAGGGTTATAGTGAGTCTTCTATTGATATAGACTTAAAGCCAGTTTTGTCTAAATTCATAATTTTAAAAATAAGTCAATTTTTTTCACTTGTTTGCTAGCCGACAACAGGAAATAGAAGAAAAACTCATCGAGGAAGAAACAGCACGAAGAGTGGAAGAATTGGTGGCAAAAAGGGTAGAGGAAGAATTGGAGAAAAGGAAGGATGAAATTGAGCGAGAAGTTCTCCGAAGGGTGGAGGAAGCCAAGCGCATCATGGAAAAGCAGTTGCTCGAAGAACTCGAGCGACAGAGACAAGCTGAGCTTGCAGCACAAAAAGCCAGAGAGGTAACGCTCGGTCGTTTGGAAAGTAGAGACAGTCCATGGCAAAACTTTCAGTGTTGGGTCGTGCCTCCTGCTCAGTTCAGAACGAGATGGAATACAGACTATCTAATTCCTTTCTCATCTAAACTTACATTGCTGCGAAAGTTAATTTTTTAGCTTATTCAGAAGTGCTGGCTGATACTTAAAAGCTTACTTTCATAAAACATATCCAAGGATACTTTTTGATCTAATGGAACTGGCTTACATATTTGAGAAGTGTTTGAAACTTTTGCCATGGCTGCAGGACTTACATTCTTTTTTGGGAGGGCTGGGGGAGACAGGGAGTGGTAAAGGGAAAAGGTTAAAAATCCACCTGTGGTTGTATATTTTTCTCTTCTGTTTATCACTCTATTACCTAGACTGTGAGAGGCTTTTTGCCTTCAGTCAGATTAAAAAAGAGCAGGGCCTAACATTGAGTGACAGCACCTGCTTTTGATAAATAGGTTTTCTCACTCGTCTTTTTTTCCTTCTTTTATTCCTCACCCCCTCCCCCAAATCCTGCTTCAACAAAGTGGACTAATTCTAGCATTCTGATCATAAGGCCCTCCATTTTCCTAATGTGTTTTAAGGAATCTTTTTAGGAAAAATGTCCAGATCATTCATCCACTTTTTTAGTATCTACTAACAACTCCTTTTTTTCTCTAGAGAGTTATGAAGGAACAGGTTGTCCTTGTCTGGAGTCAAGCTAAACACATGATTTGTTTTATCAGCAGCTGGAGCAGAAGCTGAAAATGTCTTTCTGTGAGACAGTAATTTGCTACTGAAGCTTTATGGCTTGTTTGCACTGATTACTCCAGGATCCCCAAACTTGGTGAAAGTCACTGAAACACTCAAGGCAAATTACTTTACAGTCCTGAGTGTCCCATCATCATACTTTGCATAATGAGTATGAATCCCATTGGTGTGTGGCATAGGAAATCCTGGGGTTGTACTTTCTGGAACTGAAATATTTGACTCAAAATATGTGACTCAATGTCTTGGCATTCTTGTGGACAAGTTGACATATTAAAATCGCTTTGCTTTCCAGTAAGCTTAGCATTTAAAATGCATTTCCCTTGTCCTGTATTTAACTAGATGTACATGCTTTATGTTTATGGTGGATTTCACAGACTGGAATTGAATGTATCCAATTTTTATTTATATCAGTGCTTTTAATAATGAAGATATTTTTGGAGTAATGGTGCTGTCTTGTAGCGAGTTATTAATCATAGTAAGATTTTTTTCTCTTCACTTGCTTTTTGTTTCATATTAACAGTTTTTTTTACACGGACACAACCCTCTGACAGTCTTTTCAAATATTAAAATTATCTGAATATGTTTGCTGTGATCTGAACACTGCCCAAACCATCAAGCAGTCTTCATATAGTTTGCATTATAAAATCTCATCCAATTCTCCAAGAAAAAATAAGTTACAGAATTTTATTTCCTGACCATGCATCCCCCGGATTCCTGAATTTCAGTTCAGATTGTAGATGACAATATGAGCTGCCTTTAGAAATTGTCAACATCTGAATGTTAAGTCCATTTTCCCCATGGAAGAAGCCCTTAGTTCCATGAAGTATGGATTACCATTTGTATTTTTCACTAACAGTAAATGTATTTTTCTTATTAATTGTTTGCCTTAGGAATGATGAATTACATTTTTTGTTCCTTCTTACCATAAACATCTGCATTCCTCAGCTCAGCCTTCCTTGTATGTTGTTCCTTTATAAATGGTTGAGCTGCGGATGCAGGTCTTGCCAAGCTAACAGTACAAATCATTTTAAAGAGGAAGCTGGCGCGTATGGCAGCCGAGGAGCACACTCTGCAGGACACTGGACAAGACAGTAAATATTCAACTTTTAATGCTGATTAAAGGAGTATAGGTAAAGAATGCGTAGGTATACACAATTGGTGAGACAAACGTTCACTTTATTTATCTTTTATATGTTACTTTTTTAATTTGGTAAATACTATCCAGTTTTGTAGTTGTCCTTGTTGATTTCTGTGATATTAAAGTATTAGTAGTAATTGCCAGGAGACTATCATAGGGAGGGTTTAGTCGGTTGCTGTTTGGACTGGGAGGGATGATTTAAATTTAGCACTAGAAACCAATTTGAGTGACTGCGCAGTTTATCGTTTGTCAGAGAGGAGGTAGCTATTACGCTACCCTGTAAGTCAGATCAAGAAAGTTCAGAGGAAGATTAGTAAATATTTATCAGTAAAAATAAGCATTTTATCTTTCTAACATCTTAACATGTCCTCCCCTTTAGGAGGAAGAACGCGCAAAACGTGAGGAGCTAGAGCGAATACTGGAAGAGAATAACCGAAAAATTGCAGAAGCACAAGCCAAACTGGTAAGTACAGAGCCTGTGGGAAAGTACTTTGCATCTTGCCTTATTTTTTCAGATTTTGTGGAATGATTTTGCACTCTATAATTTAACTTACATTTTCAGATATCTTGAGACTACTTAAAAGGCTTTGTAAGCAAGCATAGGACCAGTTGACTACCTTTTTATTTCTGATCTGGAGAGAACTGTAGAATTTGCAGTGGCTTAAAACAGGTTTTCTGGGGAAAGTGTATTATTCCCTCTCCTGTTTTTTCTATCCTAACTTCATTCACGTTTCTCCTATGCCTAAAAACAACAACAACACCATAGTCTTGGAGGTATTTGAATGAACTAATATGCAGCATTTCACTTGCATTATGCATTAGTTGCTTTCTTACCTATCACTAGAGAGAATAAGTAGGTAGTATCTATTTGGTAGTAAGTGTATAAGAGGAATACATCCTATTTCCCACTCCTAGTTTATAATCTAACAAGAAATACAGACTTAAGTAATTATATGATAAAGAAAGATGTGAACCAAAGTGATGCAAGGCAATTTTAAAGCAGTAATGAAGCCAATATAAGAAGATTGAGGTGATTTTTAAAAAAAATTAGATCATTTGACCTCGACTTTTTCTTCCTTTTTTTTTTTTTTAAAAAGCATTTCTCTGTTTTTTTATTTTGTAAGCACACATATTAGCGTTGTTAAAGTGGTATAGAGTTGACTGGGCATGGTAGCTTATGCCTGTAATCACAGTGCTTTGGGAAGCCAGAGCAGAAAGATTGCTTGAGCCCATCAAGACTAGTCTAGGCAACATAGTGAGACCTTTTCTCTACAAAAATAAAAAAAATCAGCCGGGCGTGGTGGTGTGCATCTGTAGTCCCAGCTACTCAGAAGACTGAGGCAGAAGGATTACCTGAGCCCAGGAGGTCGAGGCTGCAGCGAGGTGTGATTGTGCCACGGTACTCCAGCCTGGGCAATAAAGTGAGGCTCTGACTCCAAATAAATAAATAAGAATGAAGTTTTTGATGTCTTAAGGTTTTTAAATTTAAAGCATGAATATTTTTTGAGGTGGTTTCCCTATGAGAAGAAAGCTAGGATTAAAGAACTATGGATATTAAAAAAAAAGAAAACACAGTAGAGGATAGTCAGGTATTACAAGGAAAAACTGTACTCCCCCCTGTGAATATGCTATACAGGAAGACTACTTCTAGGTAAAAATACAAATCAGAGATGGAAGGAAATGTACTAAGGTAGGGGAGAGATTGGTGGTATTTAGTGCCATGAATGATATGACCCAGGGAGGGACTCTTGTTGACTGGGGAGGGAGAAAATAATAAGCTCCAGTTATGTGATACAAAGATATTCTGTGACTCTGTTTACAAATGCCCATAGATCTGAGAGGGTCTAATATAACATTGGAACCATTGAGCATAGGTGTGAAAGAGTAGACCACAAATGATGTATCCAGTAATCGATAAGAATGTAAAAAGTTAATGTGGGGCAGTTGCTTCTAGAGAATGATCTTCTAAAATATAGCATAACCCAGATAAAAGGGAGTTCTAGAAATAACCCAGACAATGTAGTGAGCATGGCACAATGGATTCTTGGTAAATATCTCTGTCCTTGTGTTTTTGACTGCTGTATTGGAAGGTTGTAATTCTGCTTTTCTAGAGCAAGATCTTAAAATCTGCTTAGGTAGAGAAAGCAGGACGAAATGGATGAGCCATTGTAAGATATATTACTACCTGCTTATGAATAAGTATGTGATAATGCTTTTTTTGTGATTTATATAAGGAAAGGATCTCATTACAGGGAGGAAGAAGAGGGAAAATACGAATCTTAATTTGAGTTCAGATGATTGAGCTTTGAACAGTAAACAATCTGGTTGGTGAGGCATGGACATTCCAAAAGAGAGGAAAAATATGATTGACAGTTCAGACATGAAAGCAAAGTTATCAAGCAGGTGGAACTAGAATTCCTCATAGGACATACTGAAGAGATTGGATAACTGGTAGGTTCAGTTTGTGGGTAGCCTGAAAACTTCTGTGCTTGATGTCCCATGCCAAGATCTTGAACCTTTCTGACCCTGGGGTGCCTATCGATCTCTTGGTCTTCTTATGTCCCTCTTAGCCTTCTTTGTCCACATGAACCATAAAAATATAACTTTAGATGTCTTATTACTGGAAAAAGTTTGGTAAGCATAATTGAGAATACAACCCAAATGGTAGTAAATGGCCAGTTTCATTTTTTAATCCCAGTTTGTCTCAGACTACTACTTTTGCACAATACGATTATGAATTACCAGAAAAATGAGATCAAATTGCTATAGAAGCTTCTAAAATGCTTATTCTTAGTTTGTTCTTTTTGTGGCTTGATTGCAGTTTGTAAACTGACTCTAGTCTGTGGGCCACACTTTACACTAACACAGTTCTGGAGTGCACAGACTTAGATCTGATCTGGTAGATCATAGGGAATGACACCATTGTGACAGCATGTTTTTGATAAAACTCCGTGAAAAGATGTCTTAGCAGCCTGGACAACATAGTGAGACCTTGTCTCTACTTATACACACAGATAAAATCAGCTGGATGTGATGGCACACAACAGTAGTCCCAGCTTCCTGGGAGGCTGAGGTGGAAAGATTATCTGAGCCCAGGAGTTTGAGGCTGTGATGAACTGGGATCATACCACTGCACCCCATTCAGCCTGGGTTATAGAGTGAGATCCCAACTCAAAAAAAAAAAAAAGGAAAAAGAAAAAGAAAGAAAAGATACCTTAGGGAAAAAGAGTCTTGAATTTAAGAAAGTTTGGTAAGAATTGGGGCATATTTAATATATTTGCTTACTGTGTTTGCTATAAAGTTGATAGTATAGGGAATTGTTAATGTTGGAGAAAAGTTATTTGGTTCCTTTGGTAGTCATGCTAGCAGGAAAAGTAGAGTATTTTTGTGTAGGAGGAGACAGAAAATGCTAAGTAATGACGACAAGGCACATGTTGAGTTTTCATTTAATTTTGTTGTCCTTTTTCATACCCTTCTCTCAATTTTGATCACTCTTTTTTTTTTTTTGAGTCAGAGTCTCACTCCATCACCCAGTCTGGAGTGCCGTGGCACATTCGATCTGCTGGGCTCCGGCGAGCGTTCCGCCTCAGCCTTCTAAGTAGCCAGAACTACAGGAGTGCACTGCCGCACCTGGCCAATTTTTTGATTTATTGTAGTGATGAGGTCTTGCCAAGTTGCCCAGGCTGGCCTTGAACCTGCAGACTCAGGCAATTCTCTCACCTCGGCCTCCCAAAGTGCTGGAATTACAGCTGAACCTCTGAGCCCAGCCTGATCACTGTTCTTTAATCTTTATACATGTTTATTGGCAAATATTATATGAAGTGTATTGAAAGTCTTGTTAGAAACTGCCATGGGAAGGAGAGGGGGCACATAACATTAATAAGGGTGCCTGATCTCAAACCAGGCAAAGTGGGGACCAAATTGAGAGCCAGACTTTTCCTGCATGATGACCACTTTTATACCTAATCCCGATTGTACCCCACATCTTTAAAATAGATATATAAATAAAAGTCTTGTTAAAATATTAAGTATTTGAGAAAGGAAAGGGTGTATAATAGAATATTATAGACGACCTTTGCTGGATGTATTCATGGTGATAGTTTATGTTGTCGAACCAGTAGTTGTGTTTGCTTCATGATAGAGTAAATGTGCTTAGAAATGCGGACTCTGTGCCATATAAAGCAAGAAGAATGGGACGCATTCTAGCCTCTAGGAAGTGATGGAAGATGCAGGGTGGCTAAATGTAACTTCTCATTGAAATATATATTGAGAAAAGCAGCCGGTGTAGTGGCTCACGCCTATAATCCCAACACATTGAGAGGTTGAGGCGAGATTGATTACCTGAGCCCTGGAGTTTGAGACCAGCCTAGGCAATGTGGTGAAACCTCGTCTCTACACTACAATTTAAAAATTAGCCCGGCTTGATGGTACACGCCTGTAGTTCCAGCTACTTGGAAGGCTGAGGCTGAAGGATTGCATGAGCCCAGCGGGTCAAGGCTGCAGTAGCCGTGATCATGCTGCTGCACTACAGCCTGGGTATCAGAGTGAGACTCTGACTCAAAAATTTAAAAAAAGGCACTTTGGTGAAAAATAGATAAGGCATTAGTGCCCTTAAATAATCTAATGTATTAATTGTGTAGACAAGGACAACTCAAGAAAAGACAGATGAATTAGTACTATGGGAATACTTGGTAGTGATATGAGATAATTGCCCTGAGCCAGCTGGGAAGACTTCCTAGAAGAGGGACTCCTTGAGCTTGGCATTGATGGATGGGTAAATATTGAATTAGGAGGCAGACAGGAATGTGAGGAAATGAAACAGGGCAAAAGTCTTTTGGAAAGTAGAATAGAACAAAGGCAAGGCGTGGAATCTTTTGGGATACTGGGAAAAGTAGTAGTTTTAGTAAGTAGTGGTAAAAGTAATAGTAAACCAACCTTATGCATGGCAAGAAGTTGTGTGGAAAACAGATTATAGAAAAGACAGGATGGTAAAGAAAGTACCCTGGAAAAAGGGAGGGATGGGGGATATTTCTTAAACATTATAGCAATACAGTAATGTCTTACAGATCAGTAAAGAAGACTAGCCTCTGATTTAAAAAGAAAGACGTAAAAGATTATTCACAAAAGTGGAATAAGAAGTAACTCTAATAAATTCCTGAAAATGTATTCTGACCTCAGTAGGGAAGCAAAGGAATGACCCCCTCTCTTCCCTTTCTCTGATATCAAATCCAAAATTAGAAAAACTATTTTTTTCAGTGTTCTGTGTTGACAGTGGTATGGTATAGTATAAAAAGGCCTCTTTATATGATGATCCTGGGAATTTAAATGGGTATAACAATTTCACAAAATGTTTACCATTAACTCAGTAAATGTCAAAAAGTTTATATTCTTCTTCTTCTAAGAATTCATCTCATGAAATTAAATTGTACAGAAATAAATTTACACACAAGAATATTCTCTTTA